CACCATGTCAGCATGCCCTGGGAGCGGGCCGGCATGGCAAGCTGGGGTTTGGCCAGCCCTGTATTTCTTGCTTAGCACAAGCTATTTGTACTTTTTACCATATTAAATTTCAAATGTTCTCCAATGCAGGAGTATCAAAAAATACGTATATTATGCATTTCATTCGTTTACAAATACAAAATCAAAATAATAGTATAGGAACACAGTAACGGTAGAAAACATTTTTCTTTTATTCCACCTTTTAACGACCTTTTAGGAATGTATGAGCAAAAAAAAAAAAAAAAAAAAAAAAGATGGGACTGCGTATGTATAGTTTTTATTAGTGTTATTAGCTTTTTTTTTTGGTTAACATGTACAGTTTAAATTCCATCCTATTCATGGTAAAATAAAGATCTTACATCAGATTCTCCAACTGTGAGAAATTCTAAAACTATCTCCTAATCTCCGATAACCTTCATTTGAGGCTTCCTGTCACAGGTCACCATTTTCTTTTCCTCTGGCCTTCTCCCAGCATCCACCTCCTTGGTATCCATTATTCTCGGTGAGTCTTTAACTGGCACATCCAGACTTGACTTGTTCTCTACAAAAAAGGACTGGCCGGAGGGTTCCAGACATCAAAGATGCCAGCAAAACACAAAACATGGGAGATGGGGAGATAAAAAGACCAGGAAATAAAGCTTGGGAGAAGGAAGGGAACACAAGGTTTCTTTATGACAAAATATGGGCCGGGGAAATGGCTCAGCACCTTAGCACCTGCCTGGTAAGCACAAGGTCCTGAGTTCAGTCCCCGATTCCAACAAAAACTAAAAACAAAACAGAATAAGAGGGGGGGAAAAAAGACGGGGCTGACATAGGAAAAAAAAAAAAAAAAACTATACCAAGTACTATAAACATTTACAGCATTATTATATTAAAGCCACATACTAACAAGGTGGGTCAACTGATGATACCAGATCAGTTTTTAAACTTATGGCACCTGGCAAAGAGAAAGAGACATCTCTGATGCCCTCGACAGGCAGGCCAAGGCCTGGGCTCCACGTGCACCATTAGCCATTCACATCCTTGTGCTGTCTCAGTAGGCTCTGAAAAATGCACTGTAAGGCAGCCTTGGTCTGAGATGCGGAGGGTTCTCGCGTGGCTCCTGCCAGCTTCTAAATAAACTGAGCACTCAGAATTCCAATGCAGCCCAAGGCTACCCTCCAGTCAGGGCTAGTGATGGATGACGCCGTTAAGAGAGATGAAAGTCTCCAATAACAATTTTTAGGTCAGGAATATTAACAGTTGGCCTGTTCTTCTTAAATTCAGCTTGACTAGAGACAGAAACTAATGAAAAAAAAAGGGTATCTTTCATTCCCTTGGGCTATATGATCCTCTCCTGACGCCCTATGTCACGTATAGGATTGTTATCTCCATTGCTGTTGCTGTTTTGGTTTGGTTTGGTTTTGGCAATAATGGGGAATTGAACCTAAGGTCCCAGGTGTGCAAGGTGAGCCAAGTGCTCTGTCAGTAAACTGTATCCCCAGTTCATGCTTGCATAAATAACATGCTTACATTAATAAATACTGCACATTTGAGGCAGAAGTTCTAGTTTTTCTATCTCTTTTTGTTGGAAATATAATTTCCCATTGATTTCATTATGTCACAAAGACAGCTGGTTAATTTGTAAAGTATCTGAAACTGAAAATGGTTTAAAACTATAATGTAAGTAGGCCTTATGAGAATGGGGAAGAGGAAACACTTGTGGTTTATATCAAAAATTTGGTCAATAAAAATTTGTATTGAATTGATCAATGAGGGAAAATTACACACTATCTCATATACACTGCACACACCAAGGCCATCCAAATTGCTGAGACTATTCCAACCTCATGAGCTCCATGATTTGCCACACATCCTCCCAGCAGCTATTACTAAGCCCTCTGCTTGCTTTCTTTCCACAGGTATTTACCAATTCTTTCAACTCACAAGCCTATTACCAACAAACAGTGAGCACTCAACCGTTTTGCTCTGGTTAACCTTATAAATCTTTATGTAATCTAAGAAGAACGTCCATAGTTTCTTTTTAATCTACACAGGTAATACTGAGTACCATGCACTAATTACTGTTCTAAACATGTTTCATGTAATAATGCCCAAAACACGCCTATGGAGTGAACACAAGTGGCTTAGGAGGAACCTGAGCGTGGGTTATTTGCTGCTACTCAGCAACGGTCAATTGTTATCTAAAAGGCCCACAGGCAGCCAGAAGAATATCTAAACGTGATAAAATAAAAAATAAATGTCTACAATTAATTTTTTCATATGCAGTAATACTGACTTCCATCTATATAAGAATAGTGTTTTGGTTTTTTTTTTTTTTGGGATTCATCTATGCACAACAGTTCAAATTTTATCTGTGAGTAAAATTTAAAAAAAAAAGTAAATTAATACTTTTTTAGGCCAGGCAGAGCTCACTCATTTACCTTGATATCCTGATGCAGTGGGCTGAATTAGGCCACAAAAATCTATGAACTCCTGCTACCAAGCCACTTGGTGGACTTTCTTTTTAAACCTTTCATTATCACTATTCAGAAAATTTCCAAAAGGATAAAAAAAGAAAAGCAATATGGTCAAAAGCTGCAGAGTACTGTAAGAGTTCCACCATTTGAAAAAAGAATGAAGAGCCCACAAGGAGTGAAAACTTACATCGTCCACAGAGACCTGAGGAATCAATTAAAACAAAGTTCCACAGGATTTGGGGTGAAATGGAAAATTTTAGAATACCACAAAATACGTTTTCATTGAATGGTACCCCTGGACACCAACAGAACTGTACACAAAGAAAATGCTAAGATGGAGAAAAACAGGTACTGCTCTCATATAAACAAAGTAATTTATAAGGTACACTTGGCCTTACAGTTACCTGCTTTAGGAACCAAGACTGGAGAGGCCTAACTCCGCTTTATCTCTGGTTCACCTTCGCAGGCCTCCCCCGTGTCTTCACCACACAGTACCCTAATGATCTTTTCTTGCTCGTTCTCCAGGCTCACCTTTGCCAGGCGTTACTCTCACCTACTCATAACAGACAACCTTCCAATGGCTCTCTGCTACTCAAAATGGAGCTGGAACTCCTGAACACTACACAACCACCCAGATGGGCCACGCAGGGGCTTCCATCCCAGATCAGCCCTCAGCCCTCATGCCTGCTTCCCAGTGGTGGTCAAATCCCAAACCCGTCAGTGTGTCCTGGCTCCTGCGGGTGCAGCCTTCATTTCCTCATAACGCCACCCAGGCTTCGCACGCGCCCCCGTGTCCTTGCATATGGCACCCATCTAGGTGGAATGCCCTTCTAAGTCCCTGCTTCCTCTGCCTGGTTAAACTAATCCTTTAGGACTCAGTCTTACATTGTGTGGGAAGCTGCCCTAAAGCCCTCATCCTCGGATGGGTCAGAAGCTTTTGGACACTGCACTAATGTCATGAATTGTTTTATCACTTTCTAGCTGAGTGACCTTGAACAAGTTCATTAATTTCACTGGATCCATTGCTTCATGTCATGAAAGCACTACCTTGCTACCACAGTGAAATAAATATGCATCATATATTAAAAATATAAAAGAACACCCAGTATTCTAGGTGACTATGCTTCAGTTCAATCTAAGGTAAGAGTCTTCATCCAATCCTATTTCCAGCCTCCTCTTCAAGGGATTCCTGCATTTTTACCTTGCTTTCTCTTCTACTAAGTCCTTGTGCTTCTATCTTCAAGAAAAAAAAAAAAAATCTACACTAATGTTTAGGTCATTTAAAGAAAACACTAAGTAGGGAGCTACTAAACAAAGACTTCTTTTTCTACCTTTCCCAGTGCCTTTATCATTTAGTAAATACGAAAGCACTGAAGAGGGGAAAACAAGCATACACTCTCCTTAATAAGCTTATAGCCAAAAGGAATGAGTGATGTAACAGATTCCACACGAATCTGGCCTTAAAAAATGCTTAAAAATGCTTTTCTTGTCATCTTCAAGTGCAATAAATTTCCTGCTATTCCATGTGATGATTTGGCACATGTTCTAATTAATATTGTAACAGGAGAACCACTGAAGTGATTCAGTTCATGATTATGGAGTAGCTAGTATATTCGGCCTTACCAGAATACAAAGATAAAGGTGATGGACTCTGCTCACCAGCCACTAAATATGTCCAAGAATGCTAAGCTATCACTGCACTTATTACTACAAAGCAGACAGCCTGGAGGACCTAAAGGGAGTGACAATTAACAAAGGCATGAGTTAGGACCCCTTAGTGGCCAACAGCTTCCATTAATATTGTGTATCTGGTAAATACTACATATGTACTATCTGTTGTATGCAATATAAGGTATCTGCCATCGCCTTCCTCCAAACCTTGGCTGTGTTGTTGTGAGTGTGAGCACACACTCATCACACCTATGTGCTCAGAAGCACTGTTCCAGGCCCTGTAAAGGTACACTTTCTCCTTTTCAAAATCCCTGTTTTACAGATGAGGAACAAGGTTTGTTATTTTCCAATACTAAGAGTTAAAAATAAAAACACTTACATATAAATAAGGACCTAAGAGAAAAACTGCGTATCCTCAGGGCACGCGGTCCCACCTGACCCAAATGCTTCCCGCAGCGCTTTCCACCTCTCCGGGGCGCACCCATCGGGAACACATCGCCTCTCCTTTCCCGCCAGGGATTAATTTTCTTTTCCTGAGTCCAAAACTGAAGTGTTGAGTCTCCTGCGGATCCCCTCAAACCAACCCTCTCCAGAGAGCATCACGCTGCTACTTAAGTCACCGGCGATTCGGGGTACAGTGGAGCGAACGAGATCCCTCTCGACTGGGGATCCGTTCCTGGGTCACCTCCAGGGATGGCAGCTACGCTTGGCTCGCCCGGGGCGCCACCCCAGCGGAATCCGGTCCTGCCCATCCCAGGCAGCCTGGGCTCTTCTCCTTCCCCACGCACCTTCCGCAGTCCCCAGCCTGCCCGACCCCAGCCGGCCACTTACGGTTCCAGTACACCGGGTAGCATTCCCCCTGGGTCACATCCACCTCGTAGAGGCCACCGCGCACGCACACCGGCTCGATGTGCACCAGCCCCTCGGCGTCGGGCTCGCGCCCGGCCGCGCGCGGGCAGAAGCAGGCGCGGTCCCCGTCGTCGTCGTCGGCCTCCTCGGCAGAGCGCTCGGGGACGGCCGGGCCGCACGCGCGGTCGTCGTCGCGGGCTCGGGCACCGGGCACCGGCAGCAGCGTCCGGAAGGCGAGCTCGATGCGCAGCGAGTCGTAGCCGATGAAAGGCTTCCAGGTCTTCTTGTCCTCCCGGTAGAACCAGCGCACCTCCTCAGGGCCCAGCTCCGCCACCACTTCGTAGCGGTGCCGGACGGCCGGGGCTCCGGGCCGGGCGCGCTTCCTCTCCCCCGGGCCGGCGCCCGCCGCGCCACCCCCCGAGTTCGTGGGCAGCAGCGCGGGCGACGGCGGCGGGTGCAGCGACGAGGAGCTGCCGCCGCCGCCGCCGC